ATCAATTTTTTCCTCTGTGTTGTTAAAACATTTTTTTTCCTCACAGTAAGAGAGTAAAAATAATCTTCACCAGCCTTCAGTAATAACTGCATAATTGCATATGCTGTGACTGTGACCTTTTTGCTGTCTTTGTTACAGATTTTTTTCCCCATTTATAATGTAATGCAACTCAAGGTGTTCGATTTGTGTTAGATTTTTTTGCTGCATTTTTTGTGCCAGATGTTTTTCCTTAGAGTCCTTAATTAGGATGTTCTGTTCAATATAGTAAAACTGTAGTTTGGTCCTTGTGGGTCTTTTTTAGCAGCAGTAAAAGTCTGTGAGGACTTAGACAGGTATTTGTATTTGTATTGTTAAATAAAGTGTCAATCTTATTATAAATTATTAAGTGTAGTTAACTTCTGCAGAATCGGTTGACTCTTTGTACCAATAAATAGTATTTTGAAATGGTATTCTTAATAGACACTGAGATATTTAAATAGTAGGACAATATTAAATGCTGTCAAGAAAAAAATAACAGTATAGAGAGGTAACTGTTTACATTCTGATAGCAGGTACCCACAACTTACTGAGATGCTTCTAAATTATAAAAGTGCTCATACTATATATAGACATTTTTCATTATTTAACTCCTTTCGTCCAGTTTTTTTTCTTTTCTATACTGAAGCACAATTCCACACAATCTACTGAGAATTTTGCCATTTTCAACAGTTAATCCAAATAGATTTGTATTTTTTAGTACCAAATGTAGAATTACAGGTTTATGGATGTATAGAGTGGAGTATGTAATGTTAGTGATGAGGATCATCTGACAGTCAATTAGATTCAGATGGTAAATGTGACAGTTATCTACTACAACACTTCATGTTGGGTGCTAGTTCACTCTGAGCTGTTGTGATATAGTTTTGTGAGATTCTTTTTTTAATAACAAATATGTTCAAATTATCCTAGTGATACTGAAAGCCATGGCAAAACAAAATCTATACACCTGCATAATGATTTTTGGGCTGTTGTGTATGTTATTGTGTCAGTATGGAAAAAAAGTATGCTTTCACAAATCATATTCAATACCATATTCAGTATTTGCTGAAAATCACGTCAGGAATTGCGTGGATGAGTATTCATCTAGTGGCATTAGTTTTATCAAAACATAATCAGATATACTGTATGAGGATATTTTATTTACAATATGTGGCATAATTAGATACAAGTACATTCTAAAATGCTATTGATTTATTCTGAAGTTCTCTGAAGTTAATGTAATTTAACAATTGCAGTTCATGTAAAATTTGAGAAGCACCTGGCATTCCCTTAAGTTTTCTTGAGATCTCTCATAACTATATAAACTGTGCCTTTGACTATATAGCCTTACATTTTGTAGTTTTGGAGGGCGAGGTGAACTCATACTGAAAAGAGTCATTAGAAGAGATGGAGACATCCATAGCACTCTCAGGCAAATATGCTATGAGGTACAGAATGACTGGACAAAGGCAATGGCTGTCTAACATAAAATGCAAAGATATCAGAGAAATTGGAGACTGTTGACTGGTATAGTTTAAAATAGTATGTCTTCTTTTAAGCAAGCAGTTTAAGATCATAAGAATGGTTACAAATTTGTTACAGTATTTAGTAGTTAATTATTCCAAATCATCCATCATTTCTTGAAGCCAAAGTATTGTTTTCAATCACATGGCTGGATAGCTTGTTCCTTACTCCCATAACCCTTAAGGTAAAGAAGTGCCTCTTATTCTTGCATTTAAATCCCCATCAGTGTAGTCTCCACTTGTGTCTAGTGTCCTCTGGTTCATGTTTCACTGTTCATTTTGAAGGTCTCTGACTTGACTTTGACAAGGCTTTTGAGAATTTTAAAGATTTGTATCAGGTACCCATGTAATCTTCTCCCTTCAGAACTAATGAGGGTCAGTTTTTTCAGCCTGTCAGTGTATGACTTTCCTTGAAATCTCAGAATGCACCAAGTTGCTAAAATTGTATGCAGTATTTTAAATGAGGCGTGATTAGTTTAATTTTTACATAACATCCCTTGATTTGAATTCTGTGCCTTTAACTATATAACCTAACATTTTGTTTGCCTTTTTGTTACTTGATGGGTCAACATTAACACTCAAGTCTTTTCATAAAAAAAGACTTTTTTTGGAAAAAGCTCAGCTTTTTCCATTTTGTCTTTATAGTTTAAACCAACATGCAAAACCCTGCACTTGTCAACATTAAATAGCTAGCAATTAAATCACCCTGCAGCTCACAACTGGTAACCCACTAAAGCTAAACAGGAGTGAACCTGGATAGTTCCTGGATGGGAGATGTCCTAGAGAAGATAAGGTTGCTCCTGAAAGAGGTGTTTGTGGGACCAATAGAGAGCGCTCACCCTTCAGTCTGTGTGTATGCAATGCCCCAGTATATTGATGGGGACATTATAAAAAGCACCATCCTTCGGATGAGACATAAAACAGAGGTCTTGATTCTTGTTTCTCAAAAAGAGTAGGGTGTTCGCCAAATTTCCACTGGCCTTTACCAATCTTGGCCTCCTAATAGTCCCCATCTATGAACTGGTTTCATTTCTAAGTTCTCCTCCCACTGATAGCTAATGTGTGGTGAGCATACTGGAACATAATCACATCATCCTTACTCCTTACTGTCCCCCAAGCCCGTCTACATTGTATGGGCGACAGGGCCTTCTCCTGCTATGCCCCCAAGCTCTGGAACTCCTTGCCCAAGGGTATTAGAGAGTCACCTTCTCTAAACTCCTTCAAATCCAGACTCAAAACCCTCCTTTTCAGAAAAGCCTTTACTTAACTGGTTCCATTCTTCACCCCTCTGCTCTTCTTAATACCATCTTCCACGGTCTCCTCTATTGTTATTGTTGTATTGTTGTAATTATAATTGTGTCCTGTCTTGTGAAATTTTCTTATTTATTGTTGTAGTCTTCTTATTTATTGTTATTGTCATCCTGTAAAGCGCTTTGAGAAGCCACCTTTAAAGGCGCTATATAAAATAAAGTTTATTATTATTATTATTATTATCATCCAAGAGATACTTGTGGTGCTCCTAATTACATCATCCTAACTTTAACATTTACCCCTGTACACTTTGTTTCCTATTTATTAATCAGTCCTCAATCCAATTGCACAGATTTCCATGGATGTCTTCTGTCTATAATGTGAGGATTACAGTATTACAGTATGTGTTTAACTTTTTCAAAAGCCTTCTGAAAATCTAAATGCACCACATAATATGCTTTGTGTGTGTCCCATACTATTTTTGATCAAATAAATAAAAATAAACAAGTTTCCCAAAGGAAGGAAGCTTACTAAACGAGTACAAAAATATAAACAGACACTTGAAGTAATTTTTCAAGTGACTGAAAGTCATACAAAGTAGCAACAATATTGGTGAGAATCTTTTGACCTTTTATAACACTTTGTGGTTGTTAATTTCTTGACTCTTTATTATTGAAATAAATTGCTTTTTTTACAAGAATCTAGGTGAAAATTGTGCATTTCATGTTCTTTCTGAAAACCCCCGCTTTAAACCTAGAGGAATGTTTCTTCTCTGTCTGCTGTGTGTTCAGAACATCAGTAAGGTTACAGATATGGTTCCATAGACCCTCTCTTGCTCCTTTCTTTGCTTGTATCTGGAAACAAGGGAAAATATGTATATGAAAGGGGAATGGCAGTAGATGACTACCTGAACACCACAGTTTGCACAATTCCATATCCGTTTACTTCTTATTTTAGTTGTCTCTCTCAGTTTTTCATCTTCCTTCTTTAATAAAGGAATGTGCACTTTAGATTATTAGTTTTTAGCTTTTCCTGTTTTCAAACCTCCCTCCCAAATCCTTTCTGAAACTCTTGAGATTGTCATTAGATTGTTTTAAAGCACACAAAAAAAGCATCTTCTTAGGTGTTCTCTTTGTAATTGATGTGTGTTCTCTTTGTAAGTGATTTTTATATATGATTTGTTTTTTGCAATATAACTGGCAATAAGTAAGTGCTCTATAAGAATACATACAGTATGTATTCTATTAATTTGAGAATGTTTAACATGGGATAGAACAGTCCCATCGTGCTAGTGATTCACATTGAAGTTATTTAAATCTCTTACTTGGGTATACCATCTTCTTCTCTATTTTTAGCTAAACTGTAAATAATACATGCAGGTGTAGAGCCTTTAAAACGGTAGAACACTTATTGTAAGACCAAAATAGCAGGAGGCATTGAAAAAATACATCTGGAATGTCATGTAGTGTAATTGCTTCTTTTTGGGTAAAACTACGGCTCTCCTGGGTCCTCAGTTCTTTTCAATTTTTAAAAAACATTTTTCTTGTAGTATCATGGCTAGTGCTGCAACATTCTTTGTGAATTTTGTGTGGAGGCATGCATGTACACTGCAGCTGCTATTGTGAACAAAGGAAGTTAATTTCCCCAAAGCATGTCATATCAAAAGGGTTTGCAGCTTGAATGCAGCTTATTGTGCGTAATAAGTAGCGAGGGAAACTGTACAGTTATTTGCTATAGAAAGTCAAACTGTAATATGATTATAAATAAATAAATGGAGCTTTTACTTATTTTAATGAGACTATAAGACTCATAGGGAAAATAATGGAAGAACCTGAAGTTTTTTATTTTTGCATTTTTAACATTTACATCATCATACCTTTGGAGTTGCAAAAATGTTGTCCTGTTGGTTTGTGGGACAAATAAACTGTAGATCAGTGGAACAAGCTGTTTTCCACCATTCCCTTGTCCCACTAGCTCTGTGAAACACTGGAGCTCTCTTGTTACAACATCAATATCTCACAGCAATTAAAGGGTCGTTCTGCAGACACTGGTCTACAGGAGATGTGGAAACCAAAGGTAAAAATTAATTGATAGATAGACTTCTACCTTCTGCAAGGTCCAAACTGCACACTTAGTCCTGTAAGCTAAATGTAATTTTGAGAGATACCAATTGCAGATTATGACTATATTATCTTTCTTTCTTTGCAGTGCATCGAAGCCAAGAAGTACTGTTGGTATTTTGAAGGAGGTTATCCTATATACTTTATGTAAGTACACATAAAATGCTTCTTCTTTTTTTGTACTTTTTGTATTGATATCTGTCATTCAGCAGTAGTGTGGAGTAGTGTTTAGGGCTCAGGACTCCTGACTGAACTGTTGCAGGTTCCTGGTGGGGTGATGCTGTTGCTCTATCTCTGAGCAGGGTACTGCAATCACAGTACTTAGCAAAATCCTCACTGTATACAGTAAATGTGTTCCTAGGTTATCACTTTGAATGAGAATTTGTCCTCAACATATCTGGTTAGATAAAGAATTAATTCCTAACTTCCCTTTAGTGTAGAAAGATATAATTTAAACTTGAAACATTTCAATTTCAAACTAAAAAATCTATAATTTTTTATAGTATTTTTTTAAATACTTTGTGATTGAACCTCTTGAAACATTGTAACGTGTTTGTGTCTGGTTTGGTGCTTTAATGATTAGGCCTACTGTACATGCTATGTGCTGTTGTTCAGTTTTTTCAAACAGGTATCATGGATTCTAGCATTACAGGTAGAGAAACACTGATTAAGAGTAAACCATAGTAACCAGTCCCCTACTTCATTCTGCTAATGGAAGGTATCTGGTCTTGCACTTCACTATAGAAATTGGAGAAAGAACAGGTGACAAGTAATCTCCTATATGCCGCCATAGACATATCTAATAGTACCATATGAAGATGAACATAAAGAATGTTCTTTTCTTTGACCCCTTTACAAACTTTCAACACTGACCCATTTATGACTAATATAAGCTGCATTCCAATGCTTGATAGTTTTGCACTTTACTGTAAGTTCCTCAGTCAAGCACATGTCACAGATGTGTGTACCTTGCAACAACACAGCATTAGGAAGGTAAAACTAATCTGCTTAAGGTCTTTCCAAGTCAAAACTGTTATGTCTCGGCTGTGAACTGCAGGTAGCTGCGCTGAAATGACAGGCTGAAATCCAGCTGCTAGGGTTCAGGGTAGAAGACAGGATTCAAGCTCTCAGAAGCAGGCAGGAAAAGACACCATTGTAATGGTGCTTTAGTTTGGAAATCAGGAAAGTTTAGCAATCCAGATTCCATATCCAGGACCTTGAGGTTTTTCTGGATTTCATCGCATTGACATGTGTTCTGTGAAGCTGCACTAGGCGGTACACTACCTCAAGGACACTCAATATCAGTGCGCCTTTCCAGTGGCTTTTCAGGAATTAAATAGGGAATTCGATTGGCTCCCTGGTTGGAAAGGTGCTGGTTGAACAGACAGGAGGACTGACTTCATTCTCATGAGCTAGAGTGGTATGCAAGTGCTCTTGGGAATGCTGCAGTCTTTCGTGGCAACTGCAGACTGCCAGTCACTTCCAGCCTGGGTGTGACAAAAACATGCCATAGTAGTGGGTGAAAAAAGCAATTGTTTCAATGTAACTGTACAGTAGTAAAGCTGGAATCATTTAACACTAGTTTGCACCATCATAAAACATGACCCTTCAGCAAATTTTGTTGTTACCACTTCCATGTGGTCAGGAGTCTGTGGGAATGATGAGTACTATACTAGAAACAACTTGGAAAAATCCAAGACCCAACTTTTACGGACATCCTAAAACTTTCACAAATCAGGAATCTATCCTTTCAAAACTGCCCAAACCACAACCACCTAGTGTTGTATCTTGAGAGGGCAGTGGGAGGTAGACAAGCATCTAGGTTTATTTAAAAACTCTCGTCATCAATAAAGTTTTGTATTTTTTTAAAATAATGATTGTTCAAGGAAAGTACATTACAACACAATATCATTTTTCCTGTTAAATTCTTTTGCATGATTTCTTTAATTGCTCTTCATTGCCACGGCACAGCACAACATTTCACAATTGACACCTGAAGAAGGCTCCACAGCCAAAATGTTGTGTTTCTTTTCTTCACTTTTAAGCATGCAGTAAACCTTTACTTGTTCCTTTGCAGCCTGTACACGATAATGCAGCTGCCTATGTGAAGGGGATTCTAGGAAGGTTTCTCTACAAAAGCCTCATTAGCCATTTTCATGGGTTTTGCCCAGTGATTGGAGAAGAATTCATACCACCTCAGCCTTGTCTGTCCAGGGATAAAGAATGTCTTGTGAGGGAGAATTAGATCCAACTTCACATTACCTGTCACAATGAAGACAATTTAACAGTTAAACTTTCTGAGATAGACTAAGAGGAGGTAAATGAGGTATGTAAATTTTCCTACTACTGAGGAGAACATTAGATGCAGTTATGTTATGCATCAGTGGTTAGGTCAGGGACACAATTAAACAGAGCTCAGAGACAAATTGGCCTGAGTCACAAATCCTTGAAAACATGCAGCTTCAGAGCAACCTGCTACTGTATTTTCACATTGGAGCTCCCAGGTGTCTGCAACAGCACAGGTGCACAGCAAGTCACAGGGGTCACTGTTGTGAAGCAAGCCCAGGTGAGCTCCACTCCACTCAACCCTGACAGGGCTCTGTCCATTGTATGTCATTGTTTGGGGAATTCTAGTGATGGCCAATAGGTCCAAACGTGTTCATAGGTTTAACTTCTCAGGAACCTGCTTGGACTAGTTGTGAAAATGACACAAAAATAAAGAATGTTCTAAAAGTGTAGTACAGGGGTGTTCAGATCTTGACTTGGAAGGCTCATGTCTGTTCTAGTTCTGCACTTACAATCTGAGTCAGCTGGTTACTGGTTTAGTTGGACCAATCACTTGCATGTAATTGAATAACTAAAAGTTATTACTCTCTTAAAGTAAATGAAATTTCTTCTGATGAAATGAGTACCTCTGATAAAATATAGGTATTTTGTCCATTTGTTTTCAGTATCTTAAAATGTCTATTTTGTACATGCATAACAAAGAAAATTAAATGTACAGTATTGCAACCTCAACATTCAGTCTCTAGAAAGAATCCCTTTGACACATGAGAAGCATTTCAGCCCTGGTAAAGGTGCATTTACACACAGACCACACTGAACAGAAAGTATAGCTCTGTGATTGAAGCTCTAACAAAAGTTTTTTAATATCTCTTAATATTCATATACTGATATGAAAAAACAGCATAAGTATAAAGCCTTATACCTTTATTCCTGTTGTCTTTAACTGGTTTACTTCCTCACTGTTGACACCCAACACCTGCCAGTTCTTCCTACAATCTGTCCTTCAGCTTGACGCTTTTTCTTCTGGCCTCTCAGTAGCACAACACATGCATAGAGACCCCTCCCTGCTGACCTTTGCCCCTTGATAAACTGTCAAATAGGGGCTATTATATTAAGACTTTCTAAGCTTTACAGACATACTAACGAGTATAACATTCATATGAAGAGATTGCAGGGAAAACCACATATTGTGATCATACATTGGATGTTGAGCCATACTACAAATAATACAAATTTAACCTGGACTATGAAACATGTCACATTTCATATTATCATAATCCATCTTCTAACTACTTCATTCAATTCAGGGTTGCAGAGGAGCCAGAGCCTCCCAGGAATCAATGTGCGCAAGGCGGGGTACATCCCAGATGGAATGCCAGTCCATCACAGGAGACACACAGACATGCATACATTCACAGCAGGGCATCGATACCCAGAAGCCAGTTAATCTTCCAGTATGTCTTTGGACTGCTGGAGGGAACTGGAGCACCAAGGGGAAACTCACACGAATGCAGGGGAACATACTCCAAGCAGCTAGCATCCAGTTTTGGAACTGAAGCCAGGGCCCCTGCGCTGCAAGGTAGCATGCGCCACCATGCCACCCATGTTTGGACTTTTCTCTATTGATTCATGGAAACTGAAAGAGGCTACATTTCACATAACAGAAGCTGTTATAATTATGAGTTGGAAATGCTCTGAAAAATAGGGAACAGATGTACAGCATACAGAACAAGTTTACTTGCCTTGAGCCAATAACTGCAATATGGAAAGTACTCTTATCAATATGGAAACTGCTTGTATTCATTTATTTGTATTTTTATGATTTGTAGTACTACCCTTTTCACAGTTTGGTTATGCACTCTAAGAAACAGACCATTATAAAATGCATGGGAAATATACCCCTCTTTATTAATGACTTTGAATTGGCAAGGTTTGGTTTATAAATGACAGGGAGACCATGTTAACCCAGACATATTCTCGTTTCAGCAAGGTGAAGTTTCATGTTTAAATGAAATTAAAATTGTTGCAATCTTGGCCTCTTAGATTGATATGGTTATTTATCTCATCCTTCTAATGAATTAGAATTCATATAAACTAGAATATTTGTTATAAAATAATTAGATTTTATAATAAACTATATTTTGTTATATTGGTGGAGAAAATGTTCCGCTTCCCTTAAAAAACAGTTAGGAGTCCGTCTCAGAAGTTAAAAGAAGTTTTCATGTGCATAGAAGATGCTCGGTGTATTTTTCTCTCATGCTTCCCTGTGCTGATCAGATTGGCAGCATTCCAAGATCACGCTCATCTTCCTCTTCCCTATTTGCCAAAGAAGAAGACAACTTCTTTTACCACAATTGGTTACTTAGTTTCGTATTACGCATTCCTATCTATAACACAGTTAAGAATTACATAGTAGCCCTTGTGTCCAGCATTCTTCCATTCCAGTTCAAATCAGTTCTGTATGTCCACCTTATAAAAGACTTTAGCATCAGCAGAAAAACAGATTTGACGGAGACTCTCTCAACAATATATTATGCAATATTAAACAATACTTATGGAATATAGGGTATGGGTTAGTAGTGAGCAGATATACCGTTCGTCAAACTTTTGACAGGTGTCACGCCCCCATTCCAAAGACCATATTTGGGAGTCTGCCCAGCTACGCCATAGATGGACGGTGCACATGCGCGTTTGCTGCCGCAGGAGGAGTGATGTGCCTGAATATGTCGACGCTTGAGTTCAGGTGGTTCTATTACAGTCCTTAGGCGGCGGGGAGCTACGGCGGTGTGCAGGGATTGGTGCGGGGCACAGGGGCCCCGGGTGCAAACCCAAGCCGGCGCGAGGCGTGCGAGTGGCTGTCT